ATATAAAACTCATACTCAACTGTAGTGTTTTCCATTTGCATTTCTTTCATCTCAAAGTTCCTTAGATGTCCTTATTTAATTTAAGGTTGTTTATGTCTGGTTTTAGTTTAAAAAGTTTAGTGTTTTCTGCACTGTAATGTCACATAAATCATTGCTTAGTCTATAAATTTGTATTATTATGGTCTAATTTCCTCCTCAGCTCCATTACCTTCGTTTGCCCAAGGACATCAGTGAGGACTACGTTATCCTGATGGACAGCACTGTGTCTACAGGAGCGGCAGCTCTCATGGCTGTCAGAGTCTTGCTTGTAAGTTACCTCAGCAGACAGGTCCTATTTATTTCATTTGAAGTAAATTTCCCAATTGTGCACATATATTTTTATACTTCCTGGCCATTGTGGAGTAGATTTTGGATCCTTTTAAGATGTGTAAACTAAATGTCAGCATCTCACTATGCTGAATCTGTAATGTGAGTGATAGGATATGTAAACCCTAGACCAGATCTGGTCTTGTTAGGTCTGATCTGTTTCAACAAACACCCAACACAATCAAGTTTCTACATGATCTTTGACCTCTCTTGCATAAAAACAAACAATCCTAACCAAATTGCTCCCTTTTTGGAAGCAGAGTTCACATAGGATATGGGTGTCTGTCTGGACTTGGTTCAGTACTTCTATCTGTTAACAACATGGCTACTTGGAAATATATAGATATGTTGCACTTTATGGTTCCTCCGGGTGTTTATTAAATTTAAACTCTCTATATTATATTACATTACATACCAAATTATTCATTTATTCCAAAAATGTTTCATTGCATTACACACACCATTCTAACTCGGTGATATACTTTATATTTTATTATTTTATTTATTTATCTATTTATTCTGTTTATTTTTGTACAGTGGTTTTCCAGCTCTTGATATCTACATTAGTTAGTGCTCAGTAAGGTTTAAATCAGGGTGATTCACGAACTCATCTGTTCCAGGATCATGATGTCCAGGAGGATAAGATCTTCCTGCTTTCTCTGCTCATGGCGGAGATGGGCGTTCACTCAGTGGCCTACGCCTTTCCCAAAGTGCGCATCATCACCACTGCCGTGGACAAGAAGGTCAATGATGAGTTTCACATCATTCCAGGGATTGGTAAGAGCAGTTTAATTAAAGGAATAGTTCACACAAAAATTTAAATTCCCTTAACCTCAGACCATCTAAGATTTAGATGAGTTTGTTTCTTTATCAGAACCGATTTGGAAAAATTTAGCATTACATCATTTGCTCATCAGTGAATTCTCTGCATTGAATGGATGCCTTCAGAAATCCAAACGGCTAATAAAAACATCACAATAATTTACAAATGATCTCCGAAAAAGTCCATCCCCTGTTGTCCTCTCACATCCATATCCATTATCCACCGACATATTTCAAACTGTTTTGGACTGTTTTTGGTGTTGGTAGTTTGATTCAGAGATGAGAAAGCAGAATAGAGGACTTGTATTTTTGCCGGAAGCAGTTCAAATTGATGAACTGGATCCATGTGGATTACTTGTGGATTGTGATATATTTTTTTCAGCTTTTTGAACTCTAATTCTGACGGCACCCATTCACTGCAGAACATCCATTTGTCAGCAAGTGATGTAATGCTAAATTTCTCATTTGTGTCTTGGATGGCCCGAGTGTGAGTTTCAGCAAATTTTCATGTTTGGGTGAATTGCTCCTTTAACAAAAATATAGAAAAAAATGGGCCCCCCAAATATATCGTAATTGCAATTGTTTTGCAGGTAATTTTGGGGATCGTTACTTTGGGACTGATGCTCCTTCAGACTGGTATGAAAGTGATGAGGGGATGGACTACTGAATTTCATCAAGACCTATGTGAGCGACTATATCTGCATGCATTAGAGAAGGGAACATTTAAGCACTTAATCTCATATGATTGTGGACCCATTGCCCTGCCCTATATAAGCATAAGCCTTAGCCACCTCTTGCTGTCGATGCTTGCAATACTACATGCTACAAATGAGCCCATGCTCAATACAGGTCAAAGCATCAACAGACCCCCAAACATTGGAGATTACTGTTCATTAGCTTTCCTTAAAATGCCCACATGACCATCACAATTTGAGAATTTCTCATTAATACTTGAACTAATAAGAGTGGAATAATAAGGACATACCACAGTTTCTTCAAGGGTGTGTTTACAATGGCATACTACCAAACTACCTTGTACTGTTTTTCAGTAGTTTGAGTATACAGTTTATACTGTATAAAACACAGTATATATAATTGATTTCAAACACAGCACATACTCAATGTTTGTTAGCTGTTTTCATGTTGTCTTGACTTAATTTGCTTTGTATAGCATATATGGCATACATGTGCATTTGAGGTGCTTGACCAAATTGACATCTTATACTAAGTGAAAGAAACATTTCCATACGCCTGCTTCAATTTAACCTGCTTTTAATATTGCAGCCTTGCTAAAAGCAGCTGTGCATAAATGTTACTACCTTTAATAGTAGCCCAAGCACAAAATAGGATTTGGGTCAAACAACATTGTTTACTGTAATGCTGCAATTCTGCTCATAAACAATACATCTGTTGTTTAGTCTACATTTACTTTGTTGTTTTGCCTTTTTTCCAAATTGATTGGTGTCTTGATGGTGATACAGATGTGAAGTGCCAATCAATATATCAGTCTACTTCATAGTGTGTGTGTGTGTGTGTGTGTAAAAATGTGGGGAATTCATGAAATATTGAAAAGGGACTTGTTGATAGAAAATTCAGTTTTAAGTCCAAATGAATAATTTTCCTCATCATTGGTTTTAGTATTTAGCGCTACAGTGCCACCGAGGGGAACAAAATCAGGTTTATAGTTTTCTGTTATATACTTGAATTTTAAAATGTAGATAAGGTATATTTATTTTTCATTGGTTTATTTGCCATGCCTGATTGAGGAGAGGCAACGACAGATTGATTTGCATTGACAAAAGTTTAGAAACAATTATTGAAGAACATTTTGGAGGTCTTTTAGCAGAAATTAAACCAAAAGAGAGAGTAAAACATGCGCTTCTCCTGAACTTCCACTGTTACGTGTCATCTAATGCATTTTTTTATTAAACCTGATCAAAGTAATAGTGCCAAAATGCACATACAGCAACCTGCGATGCACTTAAATTTATGTAAACAAACAATTTGATCACATTCTCACCTAAAGGGGAGAGTTGCACATTATTTCAATGGCATTTATTAAAAAATTACTTTGTCTATTTGGTCCCACTTGACAAAATAAAATAATGAAATTGACACATTTATGTCTTATTTTTCTTTGTATATTTTCTAATTGGAACTGACATTTGGTTTTTATTTTTCGTACAGTGATTTTATGGCCTGGTTATGTTATTCTGAATCAAATCTCAGTAATGGACTTCAGACTTAACTACATTGGCAGCAATATGCATTATTATAAGGGGGAAATATTTCTCTTATTTAAGTTCTCTCTCTCTCTCCAGAGATGTGTACTGTAATTATTTTGTTGTATATGTATGATTTGCCTGGGTTATCTGTTTACAGGCTTCAACTGACCTCCAGTGTTGTAAGCCATTCCACTTCTGTTTTTTTTCTGTATGTATAAATAGCGCAATAAAATATTTTGTGCCTAAGTCTTGTCTTAATTCTTTTTTCTCCCTGTAAACATTGCAAAAATGTACGTGTAACAAGTGTATGTCCACTCAATTTTATTAGTCTAGCCAAAGAGTTCTTCCTTCTTTTTTCAAAATCAATTCCAGGTACACATAATTATTTATAGGGGTAATTATAATTATTCAAATTATTATTTTCATTTAAGAGGGTTTTAAACTTTCAAATCAACTCCAAAAACTTTTTCCAATAGTTAAATTCTTGACCGGGACTTTTATTTTGAAATATTCTGTTAGGTTTTGAAGCGTTTGCTTGCTGCTTCATACCACCTCAAGCATCATGTTATATCGTTGACTTTGGGGTAAAATGAATTATATCAAACATCTCTCAGGTTGTCCTGATACAAGTACAAACAAGACTGAATGAGTTTAAACTTCAGTCACATCTTCGGAAGTCACTTCCCTTCCTCTTTTGACTTTGGAGTCTTTGAAAGCAGCAGTCCTACCGCTTTAATTTCAGCAACGCCAACATCTTTTTAACACGCACTGTATCACTTCTCTTTGCGTGACAAGGTAGGATTACACTTCTAACTTTAGTCTCCGTACTGGTTAAAACTGACTGTGCAAGAGTTATAAAATAAAGTAGTTTTAGTCACGTAAGCTTGGTATAGGCACTTGAGAGAAGTCAACGAGACAAATTGGATTAATTAAAGGAAAATAAACATGTATAGTGGATGACACATTCTTGTATTTCTGCGTTGTGAGAAACAGAATTGTCCTTATCCGGTTGTGTAAAACATAAAAACGTTTTATTGGAATTGGAATTGAAAATTCATCATGATTTGTGGCACGCGCACTGCACGTGCCTTTGAGCCAAAGCGCGAGACTCTCATCACTGTACGAGTGCAACTGAACCTTATAAAATCAGGATAGTTCACCTTCTAGTCCCCATTGACTTGCATAGTGTTTTTTTTCCATACTATGGAAGTCAATGGGGACCAGCAACTGAAGGCGAACTATCCCTTTAACCTATTAAAATTTGACAAGAGATTCTACTAATCACCACATCGACAGCGCAAAATATGCAGTACAACGCTAAATGACTCTTATGAACCGATTCTTCTAATGAATCAAAAATGTACAACGCGAGTTACAAATGAATGACTCTTATGAGCCGGTGTTCTGTCGATTTGTGCTACCCATAGACTATAAAAACAGGTGCTACCCTGTCAGATTTTGCTACCTCCCATTAAAACAGGCTGTTTTTCAGAAAATCAGAGAATAATTCCCTTTCATATTTTATTATATATTTAATTTTTTTACTTTGTATTTTCTTTAATGCAATCTACTTTTTCACTGGAAATTCCTGTCTCTAAGGCAAATTCCTTGTGAGTTTAAACATACATGGCATTTAAAGCTCTTTCTGATTTTCTTTCCATTAAAACGGGCTGTTTTTCAGAAAATCAGAGAATATTTCCCTTTCATATTTTATTTATTTATAAGCAAATCTTGGTTAATAACTAATCAGTAACTAGTTTGGGATCAAATATTGGTAAGCATTTGTTGATAAAATGATGTTGCATAAATTTAAAAAAAAAGTTTGACCATTTATCTGTCAATAACTAAGTGCAAGTAATTTCTATAGTCCGGTGTTTTTTTTTAGACTTTGTCACATGGCGGGCCTTTGGAGATCTTATCAGGCGCTGATGGCCAAACATCCATGGACAGTGCAGATTATAACTGCTGGTAAGAGCTACAAACTCTCCACCCTCCTCTCTAGTCCTCTAGTTTTCTTTTCAGTCCTGTAGTTGATGTTCCCAATTCCCGTTAGGTCAACTCAATCTCAGATGCTATTGATTAAATATTTATCTTTCCTGTTAGCACAATCACTTCTAAACAGCAAGATTGTTTTTGAGCATGAATAATAGATCAGCCATATAAACAATGGAAAACCCTTCTCAGCAACAATCTGCTTAGCTGTTTACTTGAACTTTGTCACTGTGGGTTTTACAGGGTGGGAGTATAGATTAAAGGGGGATTAAAGTCTATTTCAGAATGTTCTTTTGGTTATTTTAAATGTTGCTTTGACTTTAAATGTTATTAAATGTACATTTGAACTCCTAGTGAACCAGGAATGCTCACATTATGTATCACCTCAAGACATTTGGTTTTTATTTGCAAAATAAAATTAGTTTTTTTGCTGCAATTACACCATTCTACCAGAAGATGGAAGCACAAAACAACATATTAATGAAAGTCTCAAGTTCTGCTGAAAACTTTCTTTTGTTCGAACATAGATGATGATGTCTGGTTCATATCACGAGGAAACATTTATCTTTAGAGGTCAGAGTTCAATGTACAATGGAAACATACTAAATCTTTCAGAATGCAAGTTTCATTCTAAGTTGTTGTTTTTTTCTAAGTAACAGCAGGCACAGGGAGTGTGGTCTATTTGAAAACAATCACTAATTTCACCGTTCTGTTTGGTGACGCCAGTGGGGCTGAAATTACACACTTTAGCTTTAATTTCATGTGTGATTACTGTGCATTAACTATTTAGACCCATTTGATGGGAATCTTTTCACTTTGTTTAACAAAATGAGCGAATGAGCGTGCACTTTATTGTTAATCAATGAGCCTGCTTAAACAAACTGCTGGCTGTATTATGAGTCATTCAAACTGTAGCATTAGGATTCATTGGTGCTTGGCTAGACTGGCACTGACAACTTGGCCAAAATGCTTAAAATCACCAGTGGCCTCATGTCGCTGAGCGGTTGAGGATGCAAGTTTATGTAATCAAGATTACAGACATGAGCTATGATTCATCGCCTTTGTTTCCCACATGAGGAAGAGGACTTGAATATTTATAGAAACTTTAGCCCTATGGGTATAGGTTTAATATTAGACTGCAAGATGCTTTAAACGAGAGGGAAGCGGGTTATTTCAAAATTAAATAATAACTGGATGTTTTCTCCGTGATGTGAACCAGCGCTTATTCGCAGAGCGAGGGACGTGATCTTACCTTCAAATAAATTGAATGCAATAAAACTTGGCATTCTGGGCAAGGTGAAAAACTTCAGTGAATTGGAGGTATTTTTTTTTTTCCTACTATGGAAGTCAGTAGCTTCAATGACTTCCGTAGTAGGAAGAAAAAATACTATGGAAGTCAATAGCAACCACCAACTGTTTGATTACCAGCAATCTTCAAAATATCTTCTTTTGTGTTCAACATAAGAAAGCAACTCATACATGTTTGGAACGACATGAGGGTGAGTAAATGATGACAGAATTTTCATTTTTGGGTGAACTATCCCTTTAAGTGTGTTTTTTTCCCCAAGGTTAATCTGGGTCTACTTTTTCATATGCCAGTTTAATATAAAGAGGCAACTATTTGTAGGTCGTTTGACCATCCCAACCAATGGGGTGAGTTTAGGGCGGGGCTATCTATTTGTCCAACCAATGGCAGACAGGGGAGTTGTCTGTTTGAAAACTATTTGAAAAGAGTCATTGTTTTAAAGTTGAATTATGGAGTAATTTATTATTGTACATTTAATTAATATGAAACATTTAATTGATATAATCTGTCATATTGGAAAGGCCTAAATTGAGTGCTAAACATCTGTTGTGTTTAAGTTGAAAATAAATCTTTAGTTATATTAGATATACACTACCATTCAAAAGTTTGATGTTTTTTTAATGCTTTGGAAATAAATCTCCTATGCTCACTCAAAGGCTGCATTTATTTCATCAAAAAAAAAAAAATTGTAAACAGTAATATTGTGAATAATATTGCTTTAATTCATTTTCAATGTAATTTATTCCTGTGATGGCAAAGCTGAATTTTCAGCATCATTACTCTAGTCTTCAGTGTCACATGATCCTTCAGAAATCATTTTAATATGCTGTTTTGGTGCTCAATAAATATGTCTATTCTAATTAATGTTGAAAACCGTTTTGCTGCTTGTGTTTTTTTATGGAAAGCGTGGAAGTTAAAAAGAGCAGCATTTATTTAAAAATATTTCTTGCTGATTTTATTTCTTGCTGAATAATAGTAATTGTTTGTTTAAAAAAAAAGTGTATGTACACTTTATACCCACTGACAACTGCATGCAAACTGTGATTAATTATTGTAATCAAAAGCCGTGTTTAACCGTGTTTATTTTAGTCAAACTCACCACTTCCTGTGAAGTGATGTGTTGATATTCACTTGGACAGAACTTACATTAAGTACATTAAGATTTGTAATCTCACTAAAATGGATGAATTAATTGTCTGTGAAATCCACTTTGCAGCACAATACAGGGTGATAAGAATGTATCCATTATTTCTGCAATTCTGTTTTTTGCCACTAGTGGTGCAAAAATTACATCCTTCAGCTTTAACTGATGCATTTGGTTGAAGTGATAAATGGATTTATTTATAACAGATAGAGATGTGAAGAGGAAGGGATTAATGAGCGAATGAATAAATGAATGGATGGAGGGGATGAAGGCGCTACATTTCCGTTTTCAAGTCATTAACGATGCATTAACCCCATAATCTGAGCTAAATGTAGAACCGAAAAAATCAATGTCATCCAAAAAGGGCAACCCTGAACGAATGAGGCTTGATTGTGTTTACTGTAACGCAGGTAAGCCATGTCACACCGGTCTCATCAGCTAAATGGGTTGGGTTGCCAGAGCCTGCCCGCTGGTCCCTGTGGAGAACGTGCTGGCTGCAGATAGATTCCTGCCAAATTGATCACAGATAATTTCACTAAGCGCAAGATGCGTCAATCACTCAAGGACAGACGGTGGGAAGTATTGTGCTGACATCAACATATTTCAAGATGCATTTAGCATAGATGAGTGCCATACTCCAGTTGGCACGAGGTACGGGGCAGATTGCACCTGAGTGTGTGGTAAATTGCATTTTATTTGGCACAGCATAATGACAAACAACCGTGTTTATGGTTGGATGGGGTTGTCGTCTTTGCTAATATAGATAAATGGATAAATGTTTTTTTCCTCTGAAACTGCTGTTTGTTTTTTCCATTGTAATCATAGACCTGGAATATAACTTTTAAGCACCTATATTTCATGGTTTTGGGTCCAAAGATGATATCAAAAAAATATATTTCAAATAAGTTGTTAATTTTACATTTCTATTCATTAAATTATAACTAAAAACGTATCATGGTTTCCACAAATCACCATCAGATCATCCAAAATGTAGATGAGTTTGTTTCTTTATCGGAACAGATTTGGGAAAATTTAGCATTACATCACTTGTTCACCAATGGATTCTTAATAATGAATTTGTTTATTACAAATATGTAGTTTTTTTTACTTCATAAGATGTTAATTGATAGACTATGGTTGTGTCGATTACTTGTAGATTATTATGATGTTTTTATCAGCTGATTGGACTCTCATTCTGATGGCACCCATTCACTGATGGTGAGTAAATTTTCAGCAAATGTTCATTTTTGTGTGAGCTATACCTTTAATCAGCACAACTATTTTCAACATTGATAATAGCAGTATTGACTGTTGGAAACTCAACATTGCCATCACAGGAATAAATTGTAATTGTCATTGTAATCAGAGACATAGAATAGAGCTTTTAACCACCTGTTTTCAGAGTCCAAAGATAAAAGCAAATGTAAAAGGGTCTTTTTAAGACAGTCTGTTCTTAACAGATGTTTTAAGAGTTTACTCTTCGGTGCTTCTCAACCTGTTAACGTCAAGTTGAACCAAGAAGTGGAAAACATAAGTGTTTATTATCACCTCACAACATGCTGTTAGCTCTCACTCAGCCTTTGCCCTCCTGTCTGCCTAGTTCTGTCTACCATGATCAATAAGCTGGTGCTGTTTTGATAAGATGACCCAGTAAAAGCATGGCAAAGGTTCCTGGCTTTTTCCAGTCTGCTATACTGGATTATTAGTCTTTCCTTGACATTTTATGAAAAGGTTAGGTCACTTAAAAGGGGCTACGTTGCTTTGCTGGGCTCTGTCGTTAAGGCAGAATGTCCTTTGTAAACCATGATATTTGGGCAAGTGCGAGGAAGCAGCTGTCCTCTAAATTTAAAGGCGGTTGCAGTTTTTTTATGTGTGGCTCCCTCCCTGGCAGTTCTGTATTTGGCTGCAGAAGAATTATTTTAAGGATCCTGCAATTTAGCCAGTCAAGGTGAAGCATAATGAGTAACAGACACTGCCTGTGTTTAGAAATCTGGGGGGATGATGTAGAAACACTGTTGTCACCGTAAAAAGCTTTACTTTATATAGTTGTCATTAATTTTATAGTGTATAGTTAGGCACACACCAATATGGAAATTCTGAAAATAACAATATTTATGATACAGCTGATAATTGATATGATGGTTCATTTAATAGATAGATAGATGGATGGATGGATAGATCTATAATATTTGTCAATATTTGTTTCTTTTTTTTTAAGAAAATGCTGTTTAAATTGGGGGAAATTCTGATAAAATATGATCAGATTACAGAGGCCTCCAATAGCTCATTTAAAACCTTATAAGTATTGGCTGATACCAATGTGTTCATCCGTAATTTTCATTCTATTGTATCTCTGTGAAATGCAGAAAATATTTATCCCATCTTAACTTCAAAGGTTTGCCAACTTGCGGCTTACTCAGGGCTTTCTGTGAACTCAATGTTATATCTGAAGAAACAGATAATCTCGAAGCAGTGTTAATCTCACAAACCCACTGCTGGTACCATCAGTCCAGTGCCTGTGTACAC